ATCCATTTGGCTCAGAAATCTGAGAGGGCACATTTGAATGGACCTGGCGCCTCTGGAGCTATATGTACAGTGGGTACGGAAAGTATTCAGACCCCCTTAAATTTTTCACTCTTTGTTATATTGCGGACCCCAGAGGGTTAATGAGAAACAACGAGAAACAGGTGAATAAAGACTGACAGTCAATGTTTAATGTTTAGAAATTATTATTTCAAGACATGTAAAGCATTTTTGCTCGTTTATGTTGACCGTCCCAAGCATGGTTGCAATGTGTTCATTGTCAAACTCCAAAATCAGATTATTTTTAATTCTTAAAAAACGACATTATTTTATTTGTAAAAAAATCATTTTATTTTATTAACAAAATATTTTAGTTTGTCTTGTATATTTTTCCAGTTCAACCGTACTAATAAGCAAAAATTACTCTAGACAAACATTTGTGTGTCTTTTTTTACTGCTGAAATGTGTTGAAATTTCTTCTTCTGCATTCTACTGTACGGACGTAAATTTACTTTCCCTTCAGCCTGAGGCTTATTCATTTACTTTTGGTGTGAAAAGGCTTTTATATTTGCCAAAAATAGAACTTTTTTATTTCAAAAACAAACAAGCAAGCCCTGTCCAGATTTAAAAAGTAACGCAAAAGTAACGTAACGCATTACTTTCCATAAAAAGTAACTAAGTATCGTAATTAGTTACTTTTTGTATGGAGTAACGCAATATTGTAATGCATTACTTTTAAAAGTAACTTTCCCCAACACTGCTAATATATATATATACATACATACATGCATACACGGTTTGCCTACTGTGTCGGAACGAAGGAGCGCGGAGACGATGGAGGAAAACGAGGAACAATCTTTATTAATCCACATAAAGACATACACGGGCAGGAACACACACGTAGCGCAGGGGTTAAACGTATAAGGCTGGACCCAGGACTCAGGAACACACAGGGCTTAAATTCAGGAACTAAATGTGGAACACCTGGAAATAATGAACATAATCAGACACAGGAGAGACTAGGTCATGGAGCACGTGGGGGAGGAAAAAAACAAGACACAGCACAGGACTGACACATATACAGTATACACACACACACATACACGAACACATACACATACGAATATCGAATATATATACACAAAGTCACTGAAACTTTAACTTAAAATGAAAACAGAAAATATAATTCAGAATATTAACAAACAAAATTATAGTACACTAAATAACACTAATTCCAGGTATTCATTCCCAGGATCTATAAGGATCCATTTGAATTTAGTCTACAAGCAATCTTTTAGTGGCTGTGGTACATTTTAGGGGTATAGGGAAAATCATAGACAGAGGAAGCCTATAACGAAGATGCATGAGCAAGAAACATAGAAGAATCCTATTTATGCAATTTATTTATTTGTTTACACATGGTCTAGTGCAGCAAGAAGACTAGAGATGAGTATATTTGCAAAGTGTTTTATTAATTAAATAAAAAAATAAAAAAACTCTGGAACACAGGCACACGGGTAAAACAGGGATACATCAAACCAAACCTTACATCAATCCAAAAACCAAACAAGAACTGACCAAGCACTGAACTATAAACATACAGGGAAACATACACACAAACTAACTGAGGAAGAAAACAAGGAGCAGGTGGGACTATAATCAATGAACCAGGGGTTAACTAATGGCGCTTTTCCACTGCATGGTACGGCTCGGCTCGGTACGGCTCAGTACGGCACGGCACGGTTCGGCTC